TGCAAGGACATAATCTTCAGGGACCTCTCGAAGTCCCCCGAGAAGCCCCTGAAAATGCCTGTCGCAGTGCATCCAGCTAAAGGGAATCAGCTGGAGACATGTTTGCTGCTCCACCACCTTCCCCTAATGTGGAAATGGCCATCTTTGGCTGGGGGTGGTGGTGATGGTAATAGACTGAAAAGATTGGCTTTGTGGGATTGTACTGGGAGACATATTGTAGCAACATGCAACTTCCTAAGGTCCGCAAACTTCTATTTTCACAGAGATGTACTCCTTTGTTTAACTGATTCATTAGATTCCTCCCCTGCCTTTTTCTTCCCAAATGATGGGTCATGGCCCCCTCTTGAGAGTTCATCTTCAGAGGATAAAACAGACATATCACAGCCAGGACAGAAGCCTGACAGCCAGCTGAGTTCTCCAGAAGAAGAGTTAGAAGAAAGAGTTCCAAGTCTCCAAGACAGATCATAGAATCATAGAACCATAGAGTTGGAAGAGACCCCAAGGGCCATCCAGTCCAACCCCATTCTGCCATGCAGGAACTCCCACTCAAAGCATCCCCAACAGATGGCCATCCAGCCTCTGCTTAAAGACCTGCTTAAATTTACTTTTTTGGCACAAACCCAAACCCTCTCTGAGAGGTGAAGTGAGAGGCTATTCTGGCACAGCTGTGAATAGCATTCTTGAAATACACTTTGCAAGAAAGGTGTGGCTAAACATGGTGTGGTTGTGAACTCAGGGCCTTCCTCCATTCCAACTGATGGAATTAGCAATGCAGTGGGATTTCCCCAATTTTGCAGTTTTCCAAATACAAAAGCATGGAGGCTCCCCTTAAGAGATTCAATGATCTCTGCCTGACAAAAGGACCTCACAAAGGATGGAAACATATGAGATCTCAGAAGAGGTAACCTTTTTGCATTGCTAATGGAATTCAGATTTTACCTCCTGGACTATGAAATGCTTTCTTGCCAGTGCTACAAATATCCCTCCAAAGACCAACACCAACAACACCTTGAGAAAACACAAACCTGTGACTAACATTGTCATTATATATATATATTTTCTCCTTTCTCCTGTATGATTCTTAACACCTTTGCCTGCTGATGAAGCCAGTGACGCTTCGAAAGCTTGCGTCATGCATTTTGCACATTATGGTTGGCCAATTAAAGGTTATCACTGTTCTGTGGATTTGGGATATTATTGTCCTTTGCTATATGGCCAACACAGCTACCCCTGAATAAGTACCATTAACAATGACCATGGTCATTATAGCATACGATGCACATTTTGAGAAATTCCAGAAGAAGAACAGTGCACCATGATCACAGCCGGTGGTTTTCTCCTGAGACAGGGGGCATGGTCATTTGGAGAAGACCCACGCGGCGCATCACGGCAGGGAGCTCGCTCACCTGTGGCCGAGGGTGGCCCGTCACCAAGCAGGTCAGCTCCAGCGTTTCCCCTTCACGAATGGTGTACACCCGCTCAGAGTATCGCTCCTCCTCAATGTTGCAGGCCAGGCCTGAGTGGATAATCCGCACCGTCGGAGGGGCTGCAAAGGAAAACCAGAAGAAAAACTCCTCAGCAAAAGCCTGGTGCAAGGGAGACCTGGTGCAAAGGTGTATCTAATTATCTGCACCGACACGAAGATGAACACTAATGCAAAACAGCTAAACTTGGGGAGAAAGGCGAGATAAAAATAAAATAAACGCAAATAAAAATAAACTTCACGGATGTGGGACATAGTTGTGAGGAAGATAGGTGGCACCTTCCCAGTTGCGCACATGAGGATCATCAGAGATAGCCCACGATCTCCAGGGAATGGCAAGTGGAAAACAAATAATTTACCACCCAGACTTTGCCAGATTTCTCTGCATGAGGGCTAGAAACCCAGCACCACTTTGTAATGGACCGTGGAGATTTGCAGAACTTCACAACCAGTGCCCCTTGAGGACAGAGGTTTTGCAACTAAACAATGGGACAAAATCCTACCTCAAGGAAATTACTTGTGTTACTTTATATCCGCCCAGTTACACCAGGATTGTGCACTATAATAGTGAATTGCAACGTGGCACAAACAAATGTGCAAACAAATGTGAAATGCGCAACTGCAAAGCACAATGCCCGGCTGCATGGGAAATGGCAGAAGAAGTCCAATGGCTCCACAAGGGTAGCTCTCCTTCCACAACATTGAACTGAGCGCACCAGACAAAGACATTCATCTACATCTTTAGGGGAAGCTTCAAGAGACGAGAGATATTACACCTTGTCCAAAAAGAGCACAACTACAGTGGGCCCTCTATGTTCACTGGCATGGGAGTATAGGACACTCATAAAAGTGGATAAGAATAAGAATGTATTTCTATCCCGCTTTTTCCCCCCCTCAACAAATTGGGATACAAAGTGGCTTA